GCCCCCTCCTCCTCCTCCCGCCGGGTGGTGACGGCTGTCCCGCTGCTCCCCGCAGGAACCTGAGCTCGGCCGCCAGCTCCGCCTCTCCCTCCGCCACCTCGCAGATCCTGGCCAGGAAGAGGCGCCGAGGGGTGAGTGAGTGCCCGGTCCCCGCTCCCCTCAGCCGCGGGCTCCCCCCCGCGGACTCCCCCTCAGCCCCAGCTCCCCCTCAGCCGCGGCTCCCCCCTCAGCCCCTGCTTTCTGCCCTAGATCATCGAGAAGCGCCGCCGCGATCGCATCAACAACAGCCTGTCCGAGCTCAGGAGACTGGTGCCCAGCGCCTTTGAGAAGCAGGTAGCGCCCGGGGACCCCTCTGCATTGCCCTCCCCCCCCATCGCACCCTTCCCCACGGGTCACCCCTTTCTGACGGCTCTGCTTCTGCCTAAAAACCGCCGTGCATCCCCTTCCCTCCTAGGGGTCGGCCAAGCTGGAGAAGGCTGAGATCCTGCAGATGACTGTGGATCACCTGAAAATGCTGCACACCGCAGGAGGAAAAGGTAAAAGTGGCGTTCCTGGCAGGGGGTCAGCGTGAGGAGCGCGTCCCCTGGCCTTTGGCCCACGGTGTGCTGCAGGAGCACCCCGAGACAGCGCGTGGCAACTCTTCTCTGGTTCATCAGGAACTCGAGACTTTCTTCTTGACAAGATTTGCAGCGTGGCTGGCGCTGGAAGGTTTTACAGGGCTGGCTCCAGGCTGTTCTAGGGGAGCGTGACACCAGCAATTCTCTCTAGCAGTGTGTCAGCGCTGTGAAGTGAATCGGCTTTTGGCAACTTGGAAAACACAAAGTTCTTCTTGCTGTCAGATTTTTGCTTCTCTAACTTTCTGAAAGTTCAGAACAGAAACTAGAAAAAAAAATACAGGTTGAAATGAATAGCGGAGAGAATTAGCAAAAATGTACTCTTAGGAAAAAAGCATGTTTCCTGGAGAGGTCCCCTCTGATAAGTTAGGAGTTGTGTTTCTAATGGATTTCACTGAACTGTGGTTTTGCTTGCACTGGGGAGACATGAAAAGAACAAAAGTACTTTCCTCCAGTGTCAGTGTGCAATTTCAGTTTAAAAATGGCAGTCTGTGACTGATCTTGGGACTTGCCGCATCGCAGCACAGATATAAAAGAAAAGCTTGTTAGCCTAAAAAAAAAAAGAGGGAAAAAAAAAATAAATAAAGGACCTTGGCAGCTAATCTCTGGTTGGGAATACTACCCACATCCAAGTGAAATATGCTTATAGGGGAGGGTGGGGAGGCTTAGGTGTAGACAATAACTGGAAAACAGCATCTTAAGACTTCATTCTTTTCTGTTAGGTTATTTTGATGCAAAAAAAAAAATAATAAAGGACCTTGGCAGCTAATCTCTGGTTGGGAATACTACCCACATCCAAGTGAAATATGCTTATAGGGGAGGGTGGGGAGGCTTACGTGTAGACAATGACTGGAAAACAGCATCTTAAGACTTCCTTCTTTTCTCTTAGGTTATTTTGATGCTCATGCTTTGGCTATGGACTACCGGAGTCTGGGGTTTCGGGAGTGCCTGGCCGAGGTGGCTCGGTACCTGAGCATCATAGAGGGTCTGGACGCCTCCGACCCGCTGCGGGTCCGACTCGTGTCTCATCTCAACAACTACGCCTCTCAGCGGGAAGCAGCAAGTAGTGCACACGCCGGCAGCGGACACATTCCTTGGGGCAGTGCCTTTGGACATCACCCTCCCATCTCTCACCCCTTGCTGCTGGCTCAGAACGGGCACGGTAACACCAGCACCACAGCGTCTGCCACGGAGCCGCACCACCCGGCCAGGATTGCTGACACTGCCTCACTCAGAGTGCCCCCAAACGGCAGCGTCGGACCCGTGCTCCCCGTGGTCACATCGACTGCCAAACTGTCTCCTCCTCTCCTCTCCTCCATGGCATCTCTGTCTGCCTTCCCCTTTTCGTTTGACTCCTTCCACCTGCTGTCCCCCGGCGTGCTGAGCCTGTCTGCGCCAACGCCGTCAGCGGCCCTCCCCAAACCCTACCGACCCTGGGGGACTGAGATCGGAGCCTTCTGAGAACTAACTCCTTAGTCAGGGTGGGGAAGCCTACAGACCAGCTGAGCTGGGTCATGCCACGCTTAAAGTTGAAGTTCTTAATAACAGGGACAAAGGTACAGCTTCACCTTAACTGAGTTGGTCTAAAAACTGTCTCTTTAGATTTTTCTTTTTCTTTTCTACGTTTTTTGTATTAGCAGGTGGGGTTTTTTTAAATAGTTGCTGAAGTTGTCAAAAAAAAATAAAATGACAGTAGTGGTTGTTAACACTTGTGTTAGATCTGTGCCGAGCATTTAAATCACTTTTGTTAAACGGTTTGTTTCAAATGTTTCATTTGCCCTGAGTACGTCCAACTGCCTTTTTATGAAGAGATATCACATATTATTGTTAGCGACAGCCTGGTTTTGTTATTAATTTTCCCAAGACCACTCTTCTCAGCATTAACAAGCTGTGATTTTTGTTAGTGTTTTGACATTCAGATGTTCTATAAAGAATTACTCTTTTTGTAAACTATATTTGAGTCTTATATTTCTGAACGAGGCGTTGACAAATCAGATGGATCAGCTTGATCAGCTTTATCTAAGAGCCCAGTTTCTATTTCTTATGCAGTGGTCTGGTGTATTTGGTGGTCTTACTCCTGTCCCTCGTGGATGTGTACTCACATCTCAGAACCACGAGGCTGTTTTTTCCAGGGAAAGGAGCAGTTTGCTTCAGAGCAGACTCCAGAGTGGGAAGGGGAAGGTGCAAGCCACATCGCACATGAGGGTGGTGGGTTTAGTTTCTGGGGAATTGAAGGGAAAAGGAAAGTTGTCACCTGCAGTGGTGTTCCATCCGCAGCCAGTCGTACGCACACGCGTTTCACAGGGCCAGGTTCTGCTCTGAGTCACAGCAGAGTAGTTGTTCTGTTACCCTGCATTCCTGGTAACTGGCATCAGGCTCCTTCCCTCCCTGCGCTTCACATTTGTGCCTGCGAGGAGTGATGCTGGTGTTTGACAGCCAAGGAAGGGTGCAGGGGAACCTCTCCAGTGCACAGCTTCGTTGCTTAACGGATGTATTCTAACTGGTTGATTTTTCTATTGCATTTTACTTTTAGGAGCAGTTCAGTGCCACTCTGCTGCACTCTTCTGCGTGTGAGAGTGTGTGTGTACGTGTAAATTTTGGTTGATTTCATGAGAATCTTAATCTGAACAGGTTTATCTACTGAGTTCCACTGGATGGGGTTTGACTGCTCTTGTATTTGTGCTGTGGCTAAATAAAGGAGAAAGAACAAAGTTATTTTAAACAACACGTTGGTCTGATATCTGTCAGTGCAGAATGCCGTGCCCGTGGCTGTCACGGGAGATGTTGAACAATTGCTGCTTAGTCCTGCTGTGGGGATCTGCATTTATGTTTTTTCTCAAGTATTGTGGCACACTTAGAGCACATTTTTTACTGTGAGGGTGGTGAGAGCCTGGCCCAGGTTGCCCAGAGAAGCTGTGGCTGCCCCATCCCTGGAGGGGTTCAAGGCCAGGCTGGATGGGGCTTGGAGCAACCTGGTCTGGTGGGAGGTGTCCCTGCCCAGGGCAGGGGGGTTGGGACTCCATGATCTTTGAGGTCCCTTCCAACCCAAACCATTCTATGATTCTATAAAGAACTGCTGTGTCTCAGTAACAGTTGAGGGAAGGAAAATTGTAGGACACCTTTGGTGTGTCACTTTTACTTGCCTGGCAGCAAGATCACTGCTAAAGAGGGGGTTAAAGCTGCACCTGTATATTCTTATTGATTTGACGTGTAAATTTTGGTTGATTTCATGAGAATCTTAATCTGAACAGGTTTATCTACTGAGTTCCACTGGATGGGGTTTGACTGCTCTTGTATTTGTGCTGTGGCTAAATAAAGGAGAAAGAACAAAGTTATTTTAAACAACACGTTGGTCTGATATCTGTCAGTGCAGAATGCCGTGCCCGTGGCTGTCACGGGAGATGTTGAACAATTGCTGCTTAGTCCTGCTGTGGGGATCTGCATTTATGTTTTTTCTCAAGTATTGTGGCACACTTAGAGCACATTTTTTACTGTGAGGGTGGTGAGAGCCTGGCCCAGGTTGCCCAGAGAAGCTGTGGCTGCCCCATCCCTGGAGGGGTTCAAGGCCAGGCTGGATGGGGCTTGGAGCAACCTGGTCTGGTGGGAGGTGTCCCTGCCCAGGGCAGGGGGGTTGGGACTCCATGATCTTTGAGGTCCCTTCCAACCCAAACCATTCTGTGATTCTATAAAGAACTGCTGTGTCTCAGTAACAGTTGAGGGAAGGAAAATTGTAGGACACCTTTGGTGTGTCACTTTTACTTGCCTGGCAGCAAGATCACTGCTAAAGAGGGGGTTAAAGCTGCACGGCACCTGTATATTCTTATTGATTTCTATTACTATTAAAAAGTGATCAGCTTTACAAATGCAAAGTCCTTTCCTGTCCAGTTTGTGAAATCCTGACCTGTCCTGTAGCTGTAATGAGGTTTTGTACCCAGCAGTGTGGTTCAGCTCCCTGTGGGTGCAGACAGCCCACCCGGGGGTTCCCACTGACCCTGTGATTGTTAGTGAGCGGTATTTCCCTCTTTCTTGAAGTAACAACCCGACAGGCTTACATAGAGGTAGGTTTTCTGCAGATGTGGCCCATCCCACCTGCAAATCTCGACCTGCAGAGCAGCAAAACCTTCTCCTGGAATGACCTCTCTTCTGTCCTGTGCGTGGGGATTTATAGCAGAGTGGTGTTGGTGAAGGGCACATCCCCGCCGGGATTTGGTGCACGGCACATCCCCGCCGGGATTTGGGATTTGGTGAAGGGCACATCCCCGCCGGGCTGTGGCTCTGCCGGAGCAGCAGAGAGAGCTCCACCCCGCGGGAGACCAGAGCTCGGCTCAAAGAGGGGCCGGGAGGGAAAGTGCTGGTTGTTCTCAGCGCCTCTGGGACCTGCTGTCATCGCCCCACAAACCTTGGGGCTTTCGCTCCCCCCCAGGCAGGGCTCAAAATATCAAAGCTCTGGGGGTTGCACCCACGGCAAATGTGCCAGGAGGGAACAGTGTGTGTTCTCACTGTCTCGCTTCCATTGCCCCAGAAACTTGGTGGTTTGTGTTTTCCTGATGGTTTCATCCTCAAAACGACCGTTTTTCACTCTCCCCAGGGCTGGGCTCAAAAATATCAAAGGACTGGAGATGGCTCCCACGTTGATGGTACCAGGAGGGAACAGTGGTGCTTGTTCTCACTGTCTCTCTGAGCCGCTTTCACCGGGCCACAAACCCTGGGGCTCCACGCTTTCCCGGTGGCATCATCCTCAAACCCACATTTTTTCATTCTCCCCAGGGCCACAAAAATACCAAACATCTGGAGAACGCTCCCACCCTGGAGGTGCCAGGAAGGAAAAGTGGTGCCTGTTCTCACAGTCTCTCTGAGCCGCTTTCACCGCGCCAGAAACTCTGGGGCTCTGCACCTTCCTGGAGGCCTCATCCTCAAAGCCACCTTTTTTTCCCTCTCCAAAGTACCGGGTACCAAAATACCAAACGTGGAGATTGCTCCAACAGCTGCGGTGCCAGGAGGGAAAGTTTTACTTATTCTCACCATCTCTCCGAACGGCTTTCATGGCTGCACCAACCTTGGGTCTCTCCAGGCTCAGGACTGCCAGACCTCTGGCCCTTGCTCCCGCGCTGACGGTGCCAGGAGAGAAAGGTGTTGCTTGTTCTCACTGTCTCCATGAGCCACGTTACTCCTCCTGCTGCTGTTGGTGCTCACACTCTCCGCTGCTCCGGGCTCAAAAACACCAAACATCAGGATATCAGGGAAGGGATGCCATCCAGAGGGACCTGGACAGGCTGGAGAGGTGGGCCCATGCAAATTGCATGAGGTTCAACCAAGCCAAGTGCAGGGTCCTGCACATGGGACGTGGCAACCCCAAGCACAAATACAGGTTGGGTGGAGAATGGCTGGAGAGCAGCCCTGAGGAGAAGGACTTGGGGGTGTTGGTGGATGAGAAGCTCAACATGAGCCAGCAATGTGCACTGGCAGCCCAGAAACCAACCTCATCCTGGGCTGCATCAAGAGAAGCGTGGCCAGCAGGTCACGGGAGGTGATTCTGCCCCTCTGCTCTGGTGAGACCCCACCTGGAGCTCTGTGTCCAGCTCTGGAGTCCTCAACACAGAAAGGACACGGCCCATTGGAATGGGTCTAGAGGAGGGCCATGAAGATGATCAGAGGGATGGAGCACCTCTGCTGTGAGGACAGGCTGAGGGAGCTGGGATTGTTCAGCCTGAAGAAGAGGAGGCTCTGGGGAGACCTTATAGTGGCCTTTCAATATCTGAAGGGTGCCTATAGAAGAGCTGGAGAAGGACTCTTTGCCAGGAAGGGTAATGATAGGACAAGGGGAAACGGTTTTAAATTGCAAGAAAAAAG